AAAGGTTTAGATCTCCATACTGGGCAGCTGCCAAAAAATAAGAATGAAAAATAAACAAAAAATTGTGGTTTCAGAAAATCACGAGTCTATGCTAGAGCTGCATCATAGAGCCACCAGGCACTCACAAGCTCCATTTCTGGGCCGTGCACTGTGCTCTTGCAGGGGGCGACACATCCCTGCTTCAAGGAGGGTGTGGAGTCTGGTGGGGGGGGGGGGGGCAGATACTCAAGTCAGCATGCCTGCCCTGGGGCAAGGATGCAGAGGGCAGCAAGGAGGCTCCTTCCAGGGGAGGGCGTTGGGTGGATAGGGTTTCTCTCTCTTCACAGGAGTCATGCCTCATAGCCTCTCTCTCTTTCTTCAGGCCGGCTTAACATTACCTATCCCATGCTGTTCAAACTGACCAATAAGAATTCAGACCGCATGACACACTGTGGTGTGCTGGAGTTTGTGGCTGACGAGGGCATCTGCTACCTCCCACACTGGGTGAGTGGGGCCGCCGAGGTCTCTGGGGAGTCTCTGCCCCTCAGTCAGTCACAGGGTGTGGGACCTTGTAGGTAGGGATGTTCCCCAGGGCGTGTGTGCAGGCTCAAGAGTCCTGCCCCCAGAGCAGAGTGGCCTGGCTCCTCCTGCCTCAATGTCTTCGTCTGACCTGACCCTTCAACAGGGAGGGGATCTGGAGCAGTGCACTATTCCTTAAACATTATGCTTGGCTGTGGACATATGCATTGTGGCCATTTGTCCTATGGGAACAGCCTTTGCTTTGACACTTGCTCAACTGGCTGTCCATAAACCACAGACTTACTGTTTAGCTGTAATTCCTGGGTTAGGTTTTTTTTAAAAAATAATGAAGCAAAGGATATTTTTGAAGTGGTTTAGTAAATATAGTGTTTTAGGTTTTTTTTAAAAAATAATGAAGCAAAGGATATTTTTGAAGTGGTTTAGTAAATATAGTGTTTTAGGTTTTTTTTAAAAAATTTAATCATAATTGAATATACATATTTTTGGGATTCAGTATTGACATATGTTGATCAAGTCAATATTACTAGTATGTATCATACTTATTCTTTATGGCCCTTGTCCAGTCTCTCCCTGTCCCCCTCTCCCTCATGCCTCCCACCACTGATGACCCTAGATTTCTTCTCTCCCTCTGAAAGAGTAATGGTTACTCTGTTGTATCTTGCCTAGATGATCTTTCCAATGCTGAAAGGTGTATTCAGGTCTCCCAATATTATCATAGAGCAGATGCTTCTTCTGTCACTCTGGAATGGGATTTGTGGAGAGAGAGATCCTGTTCTTTTCTTTGGTCTCTGCTGGTGACTCTCCTTTTGTCAATGCACTGCAGTGGCTGGTGGACCATCTGCATAATGGCTGTGATGTCAAGCCACTTTTGCAGCAGCCATGGTTACTGTGGTGGCTGTGATGGGCCAGCCACATGGAGGTGATGTTTTTGGCATGCTCCTTGGTGCTGGTGGTGTGCCTGGTTGTTGGGGGCAGGGGTCCAGTCCCTGGCTCGATGCCCTGGGCCCCTGGGTGGGGCCCCAAGGTGCTGGCGGTGTGCCTGGTTGTGTGTGGGGGTCCAGTCCCCTGCTCAATGCTCTGGGCCCCTGGGCGGGTCCCCAAGGCACTGGTGGTGTGCCTGGATGTGGGCAGGGGTGTCTGGTCCCTGGCTCCATGCCCCAGGCCCCTGGGCAGGCCCTGAGGTGCTAGCAGTGTGCATGGTTGTAGGCAGGTGGCCTGGTCCTGGCTCAATGCCTCAGGTCCCCTGGCAGGCCCTGAGGTGCTGGTGGTGTGCCTGGGCCAGAACTAAGTTTTTGTCCTTTGTTTACTTCTAAAACAGGGGAACTTCCTGTGGGAACCAGTACTTGAGCTGTGTTGTTAAGCCAAATTGCTGCTTTGCTGCTGTTTCCCTAGGGAAGACTTTTTGTGCAGCTCAGGGTTTAATGGTTGACCTTATAGGTGGTCCTGTGCTCAGGGTTTAATGGTTGACCTCTGAGTGGTCCTGTGCTGACTGGGGACGAATCGGCTGTCCTTGTTGTGTCCCAGTGTTCTCCTGGTGGGCCCATCTCCCCCACTGCCATGCTCCAATGCTTCCCATGGGATGGGCCCTGCACCAGTCCCTTGTGATGATTCACTGGCCTCTGAATGGCTCCCCTTTTTCAGCTGTTCTGGCTCCTCACTCCTGCATAGGTCCATGGGAACCCTATTAGTGGTCTTGCTGTCCTGGGGGCCACCAAGGCCCTCTTCTCCCCTGCCGCCTCCAAGCAACACCATCCAAAGGGCACAGCTGCAGCTTCTGCCAGCTCCTGCTCCATGTGCTCAGCAGCTCCAACCTTAAAGTGGCCACGCACAAAATGGTCGGAGTGGTTCTTGATTTCTCTCATCACAGCTTCTCCCACCTTCATGCACTCCATAGGTTTCTCCTCCTCTTCCCCTGACCTCCAGCGGCCCCAACTTGGGTGTTGTTACATTTTTATAGTTGTAAATTGGTTGATTTGTGGGAGTGTTGTGAAGCACCCTCCTGCAGGATTGCACTTACATGCCACTCATGCAGAAAAGGGCAGTTTATTCACTCCAGCTGACCAGTGACCGTCTCCCAAGGAGCAACCAAGGGAGAATGGCCCTGGGCCTTGGTCTTGTGGGGTTTTTAAGGGCAAAAACCACATCCCATTGGCACATCGGTTTGTCCAGGTGCACAAAGCAAGCTAGGTAGCTAGGTTACAGAAGCCAAAAATGAGCCATTAGAGCAATCAAGCATACAAATTTTCATTGTGTGTGGCTCCTGTTCCCATGTAATAGTTCACTGTGTATGGCTCCTGTTTCTTTGCAACAGTTTTTGTTTCTATAAGAAGGTCAACCGTTTCTCATGCAGAAGCGGGGGTAGTCTGCAGGTCAGATGGGGTAAAATGGAGTTACTTAGGTTAAGCAAGCAATTCTACAGGAGCAGATAGTGTACATTATGGGGGTGTAGGGAGCTCTATTTCAGGAGAGAGTGACGCTGGGGACTGTCTGTTCCACCATCTTGACCAGAACTCCCCAGTTTTTTAGATTATTATAGTGTCATCTCCCCCACCCCTGGGCACACATGTGTTTTTAGATGCTATAACTGTCTTCCTAAAGTACTCAACTTAGCTACCACAGGAAAGATGCGTTCCTTCTTGTATTCAGGTGTTCTCCATTTGTGTAAAGTTGACAGACATCACTGCAGACCTGGGTATGGATATCAAGGGTGCCAGAGCCACTAGAGCTTGACTGAGGCCGAACACCTCAGAGAGGGAAACAGAACCACACCACCACTTTAGGGAGGAGCCCTCAGCAGGGAGAGTTCACAGGTGGCCGCAGGGCCTGCTTGACTCCCTCTTCCCCCCTCCCCAGCAAAATCCTCCCTTCACACACGGGTGGCCACAGGGCCTGCTTGGCTCCCTCTTCCTCACTCTGCAACCAAATCCTCCTTTCTCCCCAGTGCCGATGTGCTTAGCTTTACAGAGCGCATGGAGGAAAGCATGTGTCCTTCTCTTTGTGGTTTAATCATGTCAGGTGTACTGAGAGACCCCTGGAATGCTGGGCTGGGAACACACAGAAGTGCTCCCTCACCTGCCACACCTGAGTCCCTGTTGCCACTGGGGAGATGTCTGAAGCACAGCTGCCTCTCCTGCTGGTTCCCTGTCACGGTGATCACTAAACTTTCAAAACGGGTGGCCTGAACTCTTGTTTTCTGAGATGAAACACAAATAGGAGTTCTGACGGTGTTTCCCTCCTGCAGCAAGTGACCTTGCCCATGCCACTGTGGAGGTGGCCATCCTCTTCAGCCTGAGTCCCAGAACCCTTTCATGAGTGCGGGGCCTGGCCAGCTTCTGCCCCATGGGGCCCCTGCCCTCGCACCACCCCTCCTGCCACCTGGCCTCTCCCGTGCTGCCTCCTCTTCTCCTGCCCTCCCCAGCATTTGCCCCCCAGTGCCCTACTGTCCATGTGTGTGTGTCTGCAGGTGCCTTCTCAGGGGCACGAGGCCATGTCTTGTTTGTCTGGTAGAGTGCCTGGCCACTGAAGCTTCACTGGGTGGCTGAAGTGTCAAGTAGTGACTACTTTCTCATGTCAAGTAGTGGCTACTTTCTCAGTCTCCTCTGCTCTGCAGAAGCCCTTCTGTGGCTCACCTGGAGAGGTGAGAGAGGAGGTGGGGCTTCATCTGCTGACCCAGATCTCCATCCCTGCATGGGCCACCTACTAGTACTGGGACACCTGCTGGGTGCTTGTTGTCCCATGTGTGCTTTGTGGTGCCACACAGGGACAACCAGGCATGGAGCCAGGTCTCAGCTCCTCCAGCCTCCTCACTGACCTCAGGCTCTTCCAACAGCCCATTCCTCACCTCGAGCCCTGGTCTGACTGTGTCTTCTGCCTCTCTGCCTCCTGCCTCCTAAGGCTGTGTCCTGCCTGTGGCTGAGGTAGCCACCCCTCTTTCCTTGGCCAGGCTTCCCTCAGGCCTTGCTCTGTGTGTGCCTCAGGGCTTCTTGCCAGCAGCTATCCTCCTTCCCTCACTGACAGATTTCCCAGATAAGTCTGCACTCTTGGCATCTGGCAGGCTGACTCTGACCCTTAGAGCATCACTCCCCAGGGCCGCAGAACCCCTGGTTATCAAAGCCAGCTGCCTCCATCCTGCTGCGCCTGCCTGTGGCGTCTGGTGGAGTGACCGCCCCTGTGTTCCTGTCGTTCCCAATCTGATTCTCAGGGTCTCTGTGGGCTCATCCCAGGGCCTGGGCCTGGCCTCCCTTCCAGGTACAGCCGCTGCCTCTTAGCATGCCTCCCTCTCCAGACCCCTGTTTCTTGGCCTGTCACAGTCATCTCCAAACTGCCACCCTAGGTGAAGCATTGTCAAAGGGACCTGATGCCTGGGATTCACTTCAGGGCAGTCCAGTGTGGGATGGGGCCAGGAGTGGAGCACCAACAGATGAAACGAGACAGTCTGTGACTTAATTACTGTGGGCTGGATGTGTGGAGGCTCACTCATGCAGTTCTCTCTACTTGTGTACTTTTTGATGTTCTCTTTAAGGTTTAAAATTTAAAAAAGCAAAGTTCCATTCCAGGACACACAGTTTCTCCTTCCTGACCTGGCCTCCTTGCCCTTGACCCACGTCTTGGCTGCCTTATAGTGTCCTGGGTCCCCCATGCCAGGTGCTCAAGGGCTTTGTTCATCTCTTTCTGTCTTCTCAGCCATCATCTACCTTGCTGGGTGGTTTAATAGAAGAGTGTGAGGGCTTTTTTGTCAGTTTCTTACACTTCTGCAGCAGCCATCTCTGGGGCCTCATCACCAACCTGCGGCCTCAGCTGTGGCAGGCCGTTCCATGGGAGGTCAGCCTTGCCTTGTTATCTTCCCACCTCAAGTGTGGCTCTGCTTGCCCCAGGGCCTTGTAAGCTGCTTGTAGGAGAGCTTGTAAACATGGGGGGTGAGCACCCTGAAAGGCCTGGAGCTGGTGGACGGTCCGGGAGGCCTGGCAGAGATGCACTCACCCTGCTGGCTACAGCAGCACCCGAAGCAGCCCAGGAGAGCTTGTAAACATGGGGGGTGAGCACCCTGAAAGGCCTGGAGCTGGTGGACCGTCCGGGAGGCCTGGCAGAGATGCACTCACCCTGCTGGCTACAGCAGCACCCGAAGCAGCCCTTTTTTGGCTTTCATCCTCCCACGTGTTTCTCTTGCTTGATTTTTTTTTCCCTCCTCCTTACATCATATCACACTTAAATTACCTGCCCTTGTTGCAAGCTCCTTCTTACAGAGACCCAAGTAAGACTTCGGCCTGCCCAGTGTATGGGTAGTGGCGATCATCGTGGCCACTTAATTTCCAGGAGTCTCACGTAAACTCTACCTTTCAGATGATGCAGAATTTGCTGTTGGAAGAAGGGGGCCTGGTCCAAGTAGAGAGTGTCAATCTCCAGGTGGCCACATACTCCAAATTCCAACCTCAGAGCCCTGACTTCCTGGACATCACCAACCCTAAAGCCGTGTATCCTTTTGAAATAAGAAGGGTTCTTCTAAACAAATGTGGGTTATGCTGACAGTTGTTCAACAGTGAACATTTTGTTGAACCTGTTCCTACTTTGGGGACCACACGTCTGTTTGTGATTGAATTTGTGGTTTGAGAATAATGGCTTTTTGCCAGCAGGTCCACTTGGCCCTGGCCATGTGCATTGGGTTCTCTGTGGGCCTTCTGTGGTCACTTTCCAGACACTCCCTGGAGGCCAGAGTGGAGCCCTTTTTTCAGTCAGACTGTGTCACCTGGCTCACAGCCCAGGTTGCACAGTATGTCCAGTGGAAGGAGTAAACAGGTCATCTGCCTTCACACCTCAGCTCAGCTGTGAACTAGCCAGTCAACCTCACTGTGCGTCCAGGCTTAGGGCACAGTCACTCTAAGCCAGTGGGTAGCATTGACTGAGTGCATTTTCTTTCAGCAAGCAGAAAGCAAAAGTTTTAGGTTCTGGTGATTTTATTTTCTCTTCTGAACTTAAGCCAGATGCATGTGTTTATAATGTAAGGAAGTGGCCAGTGTGGGTGGGGGACATGCTGTGTGTGGACTGTGAATGAGATCTCTAGTTCAGTGGCCACAATTTGGCTTGTTGAGATCACCGTGTAGAGTGGTCACTCCATTCTATTTATTTTGAAAAATGAAAGCTTGAAAAGCAGTTGAACAACATAGACAGGTAGAAAGTAAAAACAAATGCTGCTCCCTCCCCACCTGCCCACTCTTCCCCAGGCCCTTTCTCACTAACAAGCTGCTGTTGGTCATTTCCTGGATGTGGCTGGGCCATGTTAGGTCCTTTACTCACATGTGTTGAGCCCCCTGCTGGCTGGGTCTTGGAGGACCGGGGTGTGTTAGGCGCTCCACCCACAGCACGGCCAGAAGTGGAGGCTTCCTGTCCCACAGGTTAACCGGGGTGTGTTAGGCGCTCCACCCACAGCACGGCCAGAAGTGGAGGCTTCCTGTCCCACAGGTTAACTCATGCTTCAGAACTCTGACCTGGAGGTACTTGTTTGGCTGTGAGTAACCAGAAGTGGGGACCTGCTTTCATGGCTGTAGCCCCTTCTGATTTTCTCTGGATTTTTACTTGCATTGCATTGCAGACTTAATTACTTTCAGAGGCTGTGTCTGTCAGCTTAGTTGTTAGTGTGTGGAGAAAGGGTGTCACTTTCTTCAGCTGAGAGTCAGCCCAGTGCTCCTGGTCTGGCTGACAGTCTGGATGAAGACAGTGTTAGCACAGAGCAGAGAAGGTGGAGGGCTTGTGCCACCGCAGGCCCAGAACACACAGGCATGTGGTGAGTCAGTTCTGCCATCAGAGGCTAAGTGATCTGAGTCTGGCTTCTCCAGCCATGGCAGTGGAGGGCAGAGCACTTCCTCTCTTCACAGGATCACCGGGAGGAGTCGAGGATAGGGCACCTCTGCAATGTGGTATTTCATGTGCAGGGGCAAAGAAAAACAGCCTGCCACACAAAGCACTTTTCACAAAGCTCTCACCATTCTGGAAAGCCATTGATCAAGAGAAGCGAAGCTAGGCAGCCTCATTCTTTCACCCTCTGACTTGGACTATGAGATTCTTGCCAGGATGTGCCATGTCACATTGGCAATTCTGGAGCCATGTTTTATGTTTGACCTTTTCATGTAAAATTATTCCATAAATTGATGAGGATGACATGGTTAAAATATTCAGTGTGAATAGATATTTCTTTGTCTAGGCATTTGGGTTATACAGTTTTTAAAAACGTATTATTATTTGCTGTTATGAGAAGGGCTTGCTGGTTACTTTTTCCTTTTTAATTTTGAATTTGAGTTTTAGAACATACCCCTAAAATTGGGTTACGAGCCCAAAAGAAACAGCAAAAGTATAAATGAAAGCATCTCTGATTTTGAGGAACATTTGAAGGAACCTATGATTGATTCATTCAATCTTTTTTCTTTTTTCAAATCAACTTTATTGAGGTATAATTTACATAAATAAAATGCACACGATTTGGCCAGCTTGACATATGTCAAATTACATGGGTATACTCATGTAACCACAACATTTCATCTTCCCAAAAGGTCATTTCCTGCCAGTTGCCACCCAGTCCTTGGCATCAGCCTCCTCTCAGCTGCTTGCCGTCCTGTTTCTTTCTCGAGGTTTCATGTGAATGGAATCTTCCTACCTTTTGTGGCTGGTTCTTTCCATCAGCATGTCATTTGTGAGATTCACCATGTTATTTTGTGTCAGGAGTTTCTCCCTTCTTATTGCTAAGTAATATTCCATTGTATTAAAGCTGCGTGTTTTTAGTATAAGCACAGTACACTCTGTCTACCTAATGGTAATCACCTAACCCCTCATGAAAACTTGTTTCAGATTTAAGGTATCCATCTTGCCATGTTGCCTTGACAGTGTGTCTGCAGATTGGAAAATGCATTGAGAAATTTTGCCTGTCTCACCACTGGGGATGTGATTGCCATCAACTACAATGAGAAGGTGAGCCCAATACAATGCAGGTCTCACCTAACGAGCCACCTGTGCAGGGTCCATTCTGGTGCTAGACGGGGGCTTCTTTTTAAGCAGGGTATGCCTGGATCTTATCACCTAATTATTGCCTACTGTTTGCTTTTTAAAATCTTCTGGCGCCGGCCCGTGACTCACTCGGGAGAGTGTGGTGCTGATAATACCAAGGCCACAGGTTCGGATCCCATATAGGGTTGGCCGGTTAGCTCACTGGGTAAGCTTGGTGCTGACAACACCAAGTCAAGGGTTAAGATCCCCTTACCAGTCATTTTTTATAAAAAATAAAATAAAAAAATAAAAAATAAATCTTCCTGTGTTCATATCTAAAGCCCTAATTCATTCAGCAACTCTGTTTTGAGGATTGATTGCATTAATAGATAAAAAATAAAATAAAAAAATAAAAAATAAATCTTCCTGCGTTCATATCTAAAGCCCTAATTCATTCAGCAACTCTGTTTTGAGGATTGATTGCATTAATAGGTGAATCTGCTTAGTGTTGTTATGCTTGTTAATTATACCTCTGTACTATGGCAGCTAGGCTGCTGATTCTGCCTCAATTCAAAAGATCTTCTCTGAACCTATAATCTGAGCAAATCCTTTTGCTGGGCTGTGGTGACACAGAAATAAACCAGTCTGGGTCCTTCTCCCGGCAACACCCTCCCTTAGAAGCAGACAGGCTTGGGCCGGCCCGGTGGCACACTCAGTAGAGTGCGGCTCCCGACGAGGGTTCGGATCCCATATAGAGACCGGTCCGCTCACTGGTTGAGCGCGGTACGGGCATGACACTGAGGGTTGCGATCCCGTTGCCGATCGCGGTACGGGCGCGACACTGAGGGCTGCGATCCCGTTACCGGTCATGAAAAAAGACAAAAAGGAAAAAAAAAAAAAATTGATGTTCAAAACTGCATTTCAATTCTATGCATACTAACCTACCCTCCCTTATAGTGCAAAATATCAGCAGTACCTTTTATCAACAATTTAAGAGTAATATTTAGTATTATTACATTATGCAAAACAAAGACTTACCGGGACCGGCAACAGGATCGCAACCCTCGGTGTTGCGCCCGCACCTCACTCAGCCAGTGAGCGGCTGGTCTGTATGTGGGATCCGAACCCTCGGCGGGAGCACAGCCACGCTCCCAAGTGGCACACTGTAGCAGTGCGCCACCGGGCCAGCCCTTGAACATCAATTTTTGGAAATATAGAATACTAGATAATCTAAAGGACTGTTTTGATAAAACCCAGGATAAAACTTAAATCAGGATAAAACTTAGATTATTAATGTATTGTTGGGCTTGCAAAAAATATAGGAAATTTTCAAGAATCTCTTAGCAGGGTTGCCCTGAGACCAAACAGCCATACCAGTCTTTAATGGAAGATCTGAATCAGAGACTTCCACATTGAACGTAGGACCCTTAAAGGAGCCAAAATAGACACAGAGGTGGGTATCGTCCTTATTCCAGGAGAAGTGAACCCAGATTCTCTCTGTAAAAAGCACCCCAGTATAGTTAAGCCCTTGGGATTGCTATTGATTGAACAAACAGGAACTTGTAATAAAACCACGAGACACACAAAGCAGAGACAACAAAAGCAGATTTTTTTTTTTTTTTTTTTTTTAAAGATGACCGGTAAGGGGATCTTAACCCTTGACTCTTGGTGTTGTCAGCACCACACTCTCCCAAGTGAGCTAACCAGCCATCCCTATATAGGGATCCAAACCTGTGGCCTTGGTGTTATCAGCACCACACTCTCCCAAGTGAGCCACGGGCCAGCCCTAACAAAAGCAGATTTAGACCACTAAGGAAATCAGTATTGGAATTTTCAGGTACAAATATAAAATGGTTATATATAAAGTGTTCAAAAGACATAAAAAATAGAATCCTCAAATTTAGCAAGCATCAAAAGGCTATCAAAAGTAACCAGGAAAATTTTGAAAAACAGTCAAAGAGTTAATAGTTGAAAAAGTTAATGAAATGAAAGATAAATATGGGGAAATAACTTAGAATTCTGCATAGAAGAGCAAGGAGATGGAACATATGAGAGATTGAGATGTTGAAGATACCAAGAAAGTCAAACACACTCGATGCAAATCCCAGCAGGAGAGAATGAGGAGTGGCAATATTCTGAAGAGATAATATCTGAAATTGATTTAGATTTGGTGTAATGTATAACAAACAGGATAAGCTACAGATAGAAAATATGAAATGCAGAGAGGTAAGCAGAGAGAAAAGACAGTGCTTACAGAATAACAGCAAGTAGTGGGCCTTTGAATAGCAGCAGTTGCAACCAAAATAAACTGTCACCAAAATCTTCTTTAAAGAATGAGGGCAAAATAAAAATATTTTCAGATAAGCAAAATCTGTTAGTTTATTTACCAATAGAACTTTAAAAACCTTTCCTATATTTTAGGAATAAGCATTATCCTAGAAGGAAAGCAAGAGAACTGGGGAACAAATAAATTGGCATCTGTGAAGCCAGGGGAAATGTTGCCATGTAAAGCAGTAATAATATTTAAACTGTAAAGCTTAAAGTATGACAGCTCAAATACTGGAAAAGAGTATGTCTTTAGAGAGAATTGTTTAGGATTAAAATGTTCTCTATTTACAGTTCAATAAAGTTAAATCAATAAAAAAGGTAACTGAAAACTACATACATATTGAATGTTTAGAAACAGTTTTAAATGATTGTCTTAGATGAAGCAGAAATTTTAAAAGATGTGACTATGAAAAATTTTATACCAATAAACAAGGCAACTTATTCAAAGTTGATAAATTCTTTCCTAGAAAAGCATAACTGAAATTTGACTCAAAAAAAAAAATTTAATTAAAAAAAAAATCATTTAGGTAATCCTATAACCAGTCAAGAAATTCAGTCAGGAAAATCTCATTCTTTGATTACCAAAACCAGACAAGGATAGTAGGAGAAAGGTAAATTACAGGTCAGTCTCACTCATGGACACAGATTTAAAGAGTGTAGATAAAATATTTATGAACAGAATCTAGTTATATATAAGGAAGATAATAGATGGTAGCTGAGTGTTATAAAGCTTTAATAATTAAGATGCAGTGTGGCGTTGGTGCTGGAATAGACAAGTAGGCCAGTGGAACAAAGCCTCATATATGAAGAATCTTGATCCACCACTGAGGTAGCATTGATGTCACCAGGCAAAAGAGATATTCTGGTGGGGAAAGGGGGCTGGAATATTGATTATTATTCTGAAGAAAAACCAAAGTGGTTTCCTAACCCACACCATAGTCAAAAATAAATTGCAAATGAATAAACTATATGGTATATGCATACAGTGGAATATTATTCAGCCTTTAAAGGGAAGGAAATTCTGAGACATACAACATGGATGAACTTTGAGGACATTATGCTCGATGAAATAAGCCAGACATAAAGTGACAAATAGTGTATGATTCCATTTATATAAGGTACCTAGAGTAGTCAAATTCACAGAGACAGAAAGTAGAATGGTGGTTGCCAGAGGAGGAAGGGAAGAGGAAATTGAGAATGACCTATGAGTACGTGGCCACAGTTCTAGTCCCAGTGTACTCCAGGGGATCTGGTGTGTGCTGTGTCTTGCTCTTATGCAAGAGGACCACATGTCAGTCAAGGGGACTGGAAATTTTAAAAAGTGGTCCTTCACAGGTAGTTTAAAGAGTGCTACTCCCAAAAAGAAAAGTGGCTCCATAGTAAGAAATGTGTTTGATACCATGACAATACATAAAACTAAATGAAAATGTCTCAAGAGTGTTCATACATGTAGTATATTATAGTATTTCTAGTATACCGTCTTCCAATTTTTTTCTTTTCTAGTTCTCCTTGCAAGCCAGTTAGTTTTATGACCCACTCATTGGTTGTGTCTTGCAGTTTGAAAACACACTATAGATAAATGTGAGCACATACCTCAGGAGACAAATACATGAATGTCCATGGCAACATTGTTAGTAACAGCAAAATGATTGGAAACAGCTGGGATATTGAGTGGATAAATTGTTATACATCCACACAATGACACATATATTTTCTTTCTCTATTAAATAATTAAAAATAGACTGGGCCCTGTTTAGGTTTTTTTTTTAATGGTGGGACTATTCAGACTGTTTAAAATGATTGTAAACGCAAGACAGACATACTCTAGGTAAAAAGAAAGAACCTGAAATGGTGTAGGAAAAAGTAGATGGGCCCATTTTTTATGCATGTTTTTTACATCAGTGAGATTGTCCTAGACACATGGCAGCATACTGTTTTCTTTTCCTGTTGGCCGCATAGTATTACATTATGTGACTCTATAATTTATTTATATGTGAGCAAATATAATTCATTTAACCTGTCTATTGATAGGCATTTTGGATATATGCTATTATTAGCATTGTTTGAATGAGCAGTCTTAGAATTTTCTCCTTGGATACTTAGCTAATTATTTATTTAGAATAAATTGCTAGAAGTGAACTTTCTGGATTAAAGGTTGTTGGCATCTTTTGTGATTTGATGCATAACTACCATGTCTAATTTGAGCCACATGTAGGGAATAGCATCGGTTAAGTGACATGGCCTCCACGGCAGCATGAGATAGGGCTAGAGGATGGTGTTGTGGGTATGAATAATGTGCCCAAAGGAGCCAGGTAGAGAACCACAGTAACATGGATGGTGATAGCCCCCAATAATTGCCACAAAACTGTCCAGCTGTTTTCTGTGTTCTTACTACAGATCTACGAACTGCGGGTGATGGAGACCAAACCTGACAAGGCTGTGTCCATTATCGAGTGTGACATGAATGTGCGTGTCTTTGTACAGTTACAGTGACCTTGTGTCCCTGGAAGCCAGGGTCCCAGGAGGGTGTCACACAGCTCCTGGTACTATTTGGGTGAAGAGGAAGATGTGTCAGAACATCATGAGGAAGCCACTGACCTTGTGATCCATCTCAGGGCCAGTGGGGGTAGCAGAGTTTGCCACCAGTGCTGAGATGGCTAAATCCACAGTCAGATCAGACCTGCCAACAAGTGAATATTCTTAAGAGCCAAGGAAGCCTCCTCGGCCTCCTGAGTAGGAATAAACTATACACAGAATCCTGGATGGATCTCTAGGGAACGATGCTGAGCAAAAAAGGCCAGTCTCAAAAGATTACATGGTTTATATAACATTCTTAAAGTGACAAAACTTTATTTTTATTTTTTTAAAAGATGACTGGTAAGGGGATCTTAACCCTTGGCTTGGTGTTGTCAGCACCACACTCAGCCAGTGAGCGAACCAGCCATCCCTATATAGGATCCAAACCCGTGCCCTTGGTGTTATCAGCACCACACTCTCCCTGAGTGAGCCATGGGCTGGCCCAAAAAGTGACAAAACTTTATGGGGCCGGCCCGGTGGCACACTGCTACAGTGTGCTGCTTGGGAAGTGTGGCGGCGCTCCCGCCGAGGGTTCGGATCCCACATACAGACCGGTTCCCGCTCACTGGCTGAGCGAGGCGCGGGAGCAACACCGAGGGCTGTGATCCCGTTGCCGGTCCCTGTCCGGTATGGGGGCGACACTGAGGGTTGCGATCCGTTGCCGGACACGGAAAAAGACAAAAAAAAAAAAAAGTGACAAAACTTTAGAAATGGAAGACAGATTAGTGACTGCCAGAGCTTGGGGCTGGTGGAAAAGGCTAGGAGGCAGCTGGGTTCAGTTATAAAAGGACAACTGTAGTTGGGGTTGGAACCGTTCAGTATCTTGACCATGGTGTATAAAGACCTACATGGTGATAAAATTGCATAGAACTAAATACACACACATACACACAAATGAGTACATGTAAAATCGGGATATCTGAATAAGAGCATGGGTTATGCCAATGTTGATATCGGGGCAGTGGTAAAATGTTAACCATTGGGAAAACTGGGCAAAATGTACAGGGCATCATTTGGTATTGTTTCTTACAACTACATGTGAATCTACAGTTGTCTCTTTAAAAACAAAAAAGATAAGGAAGCCAAGTGTCTCAGAATTTACTTTTCATCTTGAGAACACAGGTAGACTTTGATGCTCCCCTGGGCTACAAAGAACCTGAAAGACAAGTCCAGCACGAGGAGTCGACAGTAAGTCATTTCTCCCAACCGCTGCACGTTTGCCCTGTTTTGTAAAGTTGCTTCTTTGAGTTCCTGACAGCGGGCTCGTGCTTGGCCTCTGCTGGTGCCCGTGCTTCTCTTCCAGTCGTTTTCTCAGGAGGACAGTGTGTCCTAGCCTTCAGGGGATGGGGGCAGCAAAAGAAATGGGAGGTTCAAGGGAAAAACCGGGCACCCCTGCTGAGAGGCTCACCTCCTGGTTTTTTGTCTCCCTGTCAGGAAAGCGAAGCTGACAACAGTGGCTATGCTGGAGAGCTGGGCTTCCGTGTGAGTACCAGGCCACACATCTTAATTGCTGTGCCCTCTGCTGCATTGACCAGGGTATTCACTGCAAGCTGTCCTCTGTGATGATCTGTCGATGTCAGCAGGGATTGGGCTTCTGGGTATTCGTGCACATGCAAATCTGACACTGTCTTGGTTACCAAACCGTTTCGCATCTACTTTCTCCTGGAATCCTCCCAACAGCCCTGTAAGGCAGCCCCAACATTTTCTTTTTCTTCTAAAAAATTTCTAACTTACCAAAAAGTTTTAATAGTACAGCAGATACACATATACCCTTTCCTTAGGTTCACCAAACATTACCACATTTGCTTTATCTCTCTCTAAAAGCACATCCTCTTTTTGCTTTGGTGCGGCGTCCTCTTTTTGCTTTGCCTGCACCATTTGAAAGTAAGTTGCAGATATGCCCCTTAGCATGGCTGCTGGCCAGACTCCCTGGGAAACAGGTGGAAGTGGCTCGTGTATGGGCACTGGGGTGCCAGGAGGCAGCTGAGGGGGCAGAACTGGGCAGACAAGAAGCTGAGCAATGGAGCAGTCACAACAGGGGCCTTAGCCCACCCACAGGGGCTGGAGTGGGTGGCCTGCAGAGGCCAGGACCAGGTTGCCAATGGGCCAGGTGGGTCTTTTCAGCTTAGGGCAGTCCCCTGCTGGGCTGGGCAGAGAGCTCTCGGCTGCCAGCACACCAGCAGCTGCAGAGTGAGGGTTTCAGTCCTGAGAGGTTCTGGGCAGTGCCCCTGGATCACATCCCTGTAGTGGTCTCTGAGCAAAGGGCACGTGTGTGCTTCCTCTGGGAGCTCAGTGAATGACTCACCTGCTTGCCTGTCTAGGCCTTCTCCGGCTCCGGGAATAGACTGGATGGAAAGAAGAAAGGGGTAGAGCCCAGCCCTTCCCCAATTAAGCCTGGAGACATTAAAAGGTGGGTCTGTGCTGGCTCTGCTCTACCGAATACTTTGTCATTGTCCAGGGTGGGTCTGCACCAGGCCTCTGGGGTAGGGCAGCCGCCTTCCAGCTCTGGAGATGAAGCCTGGGTCATCAGGCTAGAGGGTAGACCAAAATTTCTGCCTGCCCTCCTTGGTGGAGGGGGGGACAAAACATTGTTGGGTCCAGGGACTCTCACAGCAGAACTTCCTCTGGTGGTCATCAGAGCAGGGGCAGGTGTCAGCCATTGCTGTGTGTTTGTGAGAGCAGGAGAATTCTGGGTGGAGGGGGGGACAAAACATTGTTGGGTCCAGGGACTCTCACAGCAGAACTTCCTCTGGTGTTCATCAGAGCAGGGGCAGGTGTCAGCCATTGCTGTGTGTTTGTGAGAGCAGGAGAATTCTGGAGAAGAGGTTTTTAACCCATTCTCAGGGAAGGAAGTGAGGGTGTAGCCCATTCAGGGGGATCTGTGAGGCTCAGGACAGAGGCCATGAGGACCTCTCATGCCTCCAGATGACCCCTTACCACAGGCCAGACCCAGAATCAGCAGCCTCCACCCCACGTCCAGTGTTTATGCCAAACCAGGAAACCAGTTGCCTCCTGTTGCCCTGCTGGATGGATGCTGGGGAGCTCCCAAGGGCTGGCCCCAGGGCCAAGTGGGGTACAGCAGCATACCCCAGCAAGTCGCCAAGAGGGCACTTACTGTCTTTTCTGCTTTCCTTCCTCTTATCAAGAATGAATTTTAGTCCCTTTTCTTTATCATTTCTCCCTGTCTCTCTTCTTTACAGAGGAATTCCCAATTACGAATTTAAACTTGGTAAGATTACTTTCATCAGAAATTCACGTCCACTGGTCAAAAAGGTTGAAGAGGTAGGTTTATTTTATTGGTAATGAGAAGTTTCTTTTGCTAGTGATGACTGGGATTCTTACCATTCTGAATAGGGGTGTTCTGTCATATTTTCTCCTATTCCTGGGGGTCCTCCTCTCCCTGATCACCTTTCCTGTAGAGCCTATGTTGGGGGTGTGCAGCCCGAGGCCTTGTAGCATGAGGGTTAGGAGCCCTGTCCTGCTCTGGAGCCAACTCCAGGCTCTGCCACCAAAGAGTTGGGTGCCGTGGGTGGGCCTTATCTTTGTTTGCTTACTTCTCACAGCTTGAGCTTCTAGTCTCTGGGCAGCACCTTCTAGCTGAGCGGGATTGTTGTAGGATAGGGGAAGGTGAGGTCTGGGCGTCCTGCAGACATGGGTACTTTGAGGCGTGTGGGTGGGCCCAGCAGGTACTTGGCACCAAGTGGTGCTCGGTGTGTGGTGGAGTTGTTGGGTGGGTGTCCAGGGTGTAGGCTCACTTGCTTCTGAGAATATACCAGAGACCAAGCTTGCCCCCAAAATGCAAGGGGTATAAGAGGCAGCAGCATTTGGGCACCCATGTTTAGGCCTATCTACCAATGTCACCACTGCTCTGGCAT